GGAAGCGGAGCCATCCCCGATCCTCACTGCCATTTATCGTTATCGCTAATCCTATCAAGCGGCTGCTTGCGTGCGGACCGTTGTATTCTTAGTAACGACCCGTCACGGTGCTGATCTTCCCCTCTGTGTTTTGTGGGCTCTGAGCATCCGAGCAGCCCCGCAGCTCAGCGCTGCGCAGCGGGCAGCCGCTCCTTCCCAAGCGCGTTCTTAAGCTCAAACTTCCACGCACGTTTGACTCGTCAGATGCAGGTGATGCAAAGGCGGCGGCAGCCCTGCCCCGTGCTGAGGAGCATCAACAGGAGCAGAGCAAAAAGCTCCGCGCAAAGGCGTTGCGGCAGGGCGGGTGCCAGTGCTGGAAGCACCACCGACCACGGCATCCACTTTCCTTTAGCAGCAGCGCGTTTCTACAGCCGTAGCCGTGCAGGAGCGCGGCGGCGGGGTTTTGCGATAAGGCAGAGCCGGGACCGCGCTGCCCTCTGCCGGTCGGAGCCCCGCACGGCTGTGCCGGCACAAAGGCCGCTTTGACGCAGCGCTCCGAGGGGGAGGAGAGGACAGAGGGGCAGCTGCAGAGCTCAGCCGACAAAGGAGGATTGAAGGAGCGGCGATCACGGCACGGGCAGCATCGCCCATCCGCCGCGACGGGCCGAGCACGAGGGGCAGCTCGGCAGGAGGGCCGGGGAAGCGTTTCGACCTACGACGCGCTTCTGTCTGCTGTGCTCGTTTACCTGCAGCCGTGCAGCCCCACGGCATCCCCCCGTACTGCAAGGAAGGCGTGGATCTTCGGAAGGTGACTAAAAGTAGTTCAAAAAGTGACTAAGAAACAAAAGAGTGCAAAATAATTGATTTTATTTCAAATAAAAAGCAAAACCACAATCATCCAAACGAGACAGTTAAGAGTATCCCAGCTCTGCTGGACGGGGCCGTAAAAGCAGCTGATGGCAGAGGCAGGGCTGGGGGCTCAGGCAGGCTGCTGAACGGATCAGTTTGCCCCTTCCTTCCCTCCTTTGCAAGAGGAATGCAAGAGGAATTCCTGTTGCAATGTTTATTTCCATTAGATTAGCACACACGGCCATCTCAGCTGATTCAGTCAGCAGCCTTGCTTTCCACCCCACAACGGCTGGGGATTGGAGGAGGAAAAGGCTCTGGGTTTCTTATGAAAGAAGCTGCTGTCTTCCTTCCAAGCATGTAACTGAGAAGACAACGCAGAGCCAGCCCACCCAAGCTGCAGAGGGGAGGAAGGTTTGTGTGCCAGCGCCTCCTCAGCATCACCTGTCCCCAAGCACTGTGCAGCAGCAGTGCTGAGCTGTGTGCTGCACTTCTGAAGGGGCATTAATTTACTCTTGAACCCCCAGAGCAAACAAGCCTGTGCTGGGGAGCAGAGCTCACGGCTCCCTTCCCTTTGGCAGGGCAGGCACAACACCAGGAAGCCCGGCCCAAACCAGCACGCAGCTGCCAGCAGCCCCAATGGAGCAGGCTGAGCACGGGGCTGAGCAGAGCAGTGCTGCTGTGGGGCTCAGGGCAACGAGGGGCTGGCTGGGTCTGCTACATCCATGGCTCTACAGTAGGCAGAAGCAGTGGGGTTAGGAAGAACATCAACGCTGCAAGGAGCACAAGTGTGGAGAAGCAAGAGCACAGCCGTGCTCCCCAGCCAGCCTCCCACACACATGGATCCAGGCACGAGGAGCAGCTTCAACGCTGTGCTCTGGCATGGAAGGGGCTGGGGAACATCCCCTTCTTGCTGTAAGGCCAACGCTCTGATCACAGTTAACTTACCCACTTCATTTCTTATTATTTTTAAATCCTCATCTAGCAAAATAGCAGAACCTCCTGCTTAGAGCAAGTGACAAAATGCCAAATGTCCAATTCTGGTCAGACAAAAAGCCTCATTCTGCCTCCATTTATGTACCATGCAGCAATTCTGGAAGGGCCACCGGAGCAAACCATGTGGCCAAAAGTGCTGCATGACATCCCAAATGTTTTCTGCTAGGAAGAGCTAACGCCTGGTTAGGAAGCCTCAGCTTGCTCAGTATTGCTGGAAAACTCATAGGAGAAGGAAGTCAGAGCATCTTACACAGTAATCACATTTCAGCCTCACAACACCCCTGTGAGGTAGGTATTGCCCCTTCTTAACAAAGACAGAAGCTCACCAACTCAGTTGAAGCAAGAGCCTGTAAAGGAAGAACCAGAGATCCCAGCAGTCCCAGTTCCCAGGCAGCACACACAGCTTTGCTTCCCATCCCGCAGAGCTGGCGGTGCTGGGGTTCATTCCAAACACTGCCTTTCTGTAAGGGACCTTCAACAAACGCAGCCTCTGAGCAGAAACTGCTTCATTTCACCCCATGAAGAGTTCGCAGGCATGAAGGAATAGAATGCTCTGCGCTTCGGATCTTCCCTGCTGTGCTTCTGGTGGAGCAGCGCTCGGCCTGTGCTGCAGGACTTCAAGATGGCAAAGCTGATCTCTGCATGCCAAACACAAAAGCGAGCTGCAGCACCTTCCATACACAGCAACTGCAGCACCAAGGAGGGCAGGCAGCCTCCTCAAACACAGCACACTCCTGTCTCTCCATTCCTCCAAAGGCAGCAGCTCTCTCTACCTGCTCTCTCTGAGGACTACATGGGTTGTGCAGACTCCTGGCTGTTCAACTGAGCAGGAAATAAAAGGCAACCCTGGGCAGAAATGCTACTGGTTTGGGAAGTTTGCTTCAAAGTGAAGTAATCTGGAATAATCTGCGGTGCCCTACAGGGCAGGCATGTCCACGTGCACTTATGTCTGTGACTAGAAGAAATGCAGGGGTCTGGACAGCTAACACCAACACCAACAGTACACCAACAAACCTTCTCTCCCTCCTCACCAACACACTGCTCCTACATGAACTGACTGGTGCTGGAATTTCAGAAGCTGAGCTCCTGCCAAATGGAGTTTGGGCTCCCTTGCACAACAGGACCCAGCCCGATCTCCAAGAAGGGAGAGAGTGTTTAAACAGGAAAGAGACAGGGTTAAAATAAATAAAATCCAACATTCCGACTGCCATCAAACCCTGCAGATACAACAATTAAGGCTGCCAATCTGCTTTTTAATTCAGCCACCAGTTCTGGGCATCAATGCAGGATCAGTACATGCACGTTACTTTTGCTTTCAACCTCCCTCTCTCAAAGAATGGCTGATGTGAGATGTAAATATACAATAACACCACCTCCTGGGCCTCAGGAGAGCACTCAAGGAAGCATCCCAACACAGCCAGCTCCTGGCTGCACTGTGCAGGTAGAAAGGATCTCTTCCTCTCAGCACGTCTCCAGCAAGACAGACCTCTTTGCTGACACTACCAGCAAAAGCCCCTGTGAAAGGAACAGCAGATCCAACAAATCCCTTGGGGATGAGAGCTCTACCTGCCGTGATACAAACGCACCTACACAGACTAAAAACATCACATTTCATTTGTATAAAGCATCACACAACAATACGCCCCCCTCCCAGTCCTTTAAAATTGGCACTGCACGTTTCTGAAGCCATAGCCTCAAAGAAAAGCCATTTACACACGTGAACCACACCGGCCCAAACAAGTCCACAGCTCCAGAACTGCTCAGTATTTAAAGCCCAACAACTGTTGTTGCTATGTAAGAGTCAGATTTTGTCAGTTGTTGCCCGGTGCTGAACATCACACCTACACCTAAAGGAGTGTCATTACTGGCAAATGCTGACTTTTCCCCCCATGTTTTTTGCTGTGCAAGAAACTCCAGGATTCTCCGGCTCCATCGAGATTCCTATGGCAAGGTGCTAGTGCATCTGTCACTGCACAAAGCAAAGGTAAATGGATCGTGGCTGGTTGAAAGGATGCACTTCAGATGTGTACGTGTGGATTAAGAGCACAAAAGATGCTTCAGGTGGGCAGTCAACTCCACTGAAGTGGCTTCAGTGCTTGGAGCATCCATCCCACCTCCGCCGCCATCCCGCTGGGCCGAAGGGCTGCTGTTCCCTTCCTCA